AGGCCGTCCGGGGCCGGTGGGCGGGGGGGCCTGCCGCAGCCTCGGCTCCTGCAGCTGGCCCTCTGACTGCCTCCTGCTGTTGACGGCACTCCTGTGTGATGAAAGGGTGACATGTGGGGCACAGTAAGACAATTTGGGTGCTCTGGTTTAAAAAAACACTGTCCTCATGAAAGAGGACAGTGGATAAGCTAAAGAAACTGCTCCCGGGACCAGCAGTTAGCATAATGGCTATGTCGCTGGACTCCCACGTAGTCGACCGTGGTTCGAGTCCCAGACCTGGTGGCTTAAACTCACGCCGGGCGTGTGTGCATGTGTGCCCAAGATCCCGAGAGGAGAATGGAGGAGAAGGGATTGCAGCGTGGCCATCCCCCCTGGGGGATGATTTCTCGCTTTCTGTCTCTATGTCTGTCTGGCAAGCACACGCACCCTATAGCAAAAAAAAAAAAAGAAAGAAAGAAACTGCTCCCATGACATTTTGTTTCTTTGTTTGCTGTGTGTCCCCAGGGAGAGACAAACAGGGAAAGAAAGAAATCACTCCCCAGTGGGGGTGGCCACGCTGCAGTCCCTTCTCCTCCAGTCTTCTCTCAGGATTTTGGGCATGCACATACAAGGCCGCCAGATCCAGGACTCAAACCATGCATTTGGGTTCCAGCCACCCTAACCACCGTGCTGCATGCTGGCCCCTTATTTCTTTAGCAAATACCCCTTTAATGCTTATCATGTGCCAGGCCTTGTGCTACATGCCTCTAAAGACAGGAACTCAGAGACTCTTCACAATGACCCTAAGAGATGTCTACTATTACTAGCCTCTTTGACAGATGAGTCTGAAGCTCCGAGAAGTCGCATCATTTGCCTGGGGTCACACAGCCGGTCAGTGGTAGTGCTCATGCTCGCAGGGGACCGGAGTCCTGGCCTGGTACTCCCTGCCTGTCTCCGTGGCTCCACTGGAGATGGAGAGCTGAGGATGGGCCTCACCTGCCCGTACTGAAAGGTCGAAGCACACGGGGCCTGTCTTGAGGTCGAGTCTTTCTTGAGTATTTTCTGGTAGGAATTCCCAACCTTTTCAGAATCATCTTTTAGATGTTATGACAGCCCTTTCTAAAGGCATCGTTCCATTACATGTAATCTGTGTCTGTAATAATATTACAAAAATGATATTCCACCATCCTGTTGTTTGAGTACTCACTACATAGCAGTCTTCCTATGCCGGCATAAACATTAACCTAATCCTTAAACCTGCAAGGACAAGATTTGTTTCCATTTATTGGAAAAGAAAATAAAAACCAAGTAGCTTGTTCTTCAGCTAATGAAATCCAAGACACGGAGCCAGGTCTGTGCTACTCCTCTTTCTTTCTTTTTTTTTTTTTTTTGAGAGGTTTTTGCTATAGGGCATATGTGCTCGCCAGACAGACAGAGACAGACAGAAAGTGAGAAGTCACCCCCCAGGGGGATGGCTACACCACAATCCCTTCTCCATTCTCCTCTCGGGATCTTGGGCACGCACGCACATGCGTACAGCATGTTAAGCCACCAGGTCTGGGACTCAAACCGCAGTTGACTACATGGGAGTCCAGCGACGTGGCCATTACGCCAGCTGCTGGTCCCTGTGCTGCTACTCTTTGTTATATGACAGAATTCACAATAGACCACCATATGTCTGTATTCACAAGGTCTACCGTATGTCCCCCCAAGATACTGGTCGTGGTGCACTGATGCTGGGGGTAGATGTTTGTGCCCTGGTTTGTCTGGGACAGCCCGACTCGTGCCTGTTTTCCCAGCACTACCTTCTACCTTCTTGCATCCTGACAGAGACATAAGTTACACGGTCCCCTGCCCGCCTGCCTGGAGCTGGTTGCCATGTGGTTTCCAGGCGACCATATGCACAGCATCCACCCCTCAGGGTCCGGTCCCTTTTGATCCATGGAGTTTTGAAGTTTTATCTTCTGCTGGGCTTCATTAAGCCCTCAGTTGGTCTGAGGTTCCTGCCACCCCACCCCCCATTGTAAATGTTGCGTGGTTTGTGGTATTCAGGTTAACAAATTACCCCAATTAGACGGGTAAATTAGTCATTCCAACTTTCTGAAGTTCCGCTGGAGGAGCTTTGAGAAATAGCATTTATAGTTTTCTAACAAGCAATTTAAAGGACACCAGCATGTGGCATTTGTTTAAGAGTAAAATGTCTTAAACAATGCCCTACTTAAAAACAGATTTTGAGATTTGCTCAGACTGGGAGATGTGATGGAGTAGCACCCGCGTGTCCTGTGAGAGCCTTTCCAAGCTGGCTGTCCTGTCTGGGAGCTTCAGCAGGGCTTACCAAAACTCACATTTAACTCCTAAGCCTTATTTTTGCCATTTGTTTCTCCCACACCACCTGAGAGTTCGTTTCAGGCTTCCGCAGACTGCTTTGAATTTCATCTGAGTGGCAAATGGCGAAGACCCAGCTGCTGGAAGGAGGTTGGAAAGGACCCCTCCAGGGGGGCCTCAGGGAGAGCTGCCGCCATTGGGGGCTGAGAAGCAACATGGGAAAAAGCGACTGACCCTTAATATGTAATTGAAAGTGTATGAGCATCTTAACCTCAGTGGGGCTCAGTTTCCTGACAGTAATCCCCACCTCATGGGGTTTCTGGAGGATTAAATAAGATAATGCACATCCCATGCCTGAAACACTATAGGGACGCAATATAGCGGGAGGTCCCCTCCTTCCTTCCTGGATCCTTTCCATGTTGAGCCTCAGATGTTGGTGTCCCTGCCTGGCCCAACTGGTTCGTCAGACAATCTTATTAATGCCTATTAAAATGAAACCTAATAAAAGTGCCAATATTTGGTGTTGAAATAATTGATGTAACAGAGGGAGCCCATGCAGCACCCAGGCGGGCCCCTGGTGCAATTTAGCCTCACACCTGGGGGATGAATTTCACAACTGTAATTGCTTCCATATAATTCTTATTAATGTGCTATAATTCCTATTTATTCCACGGGGCTTGTAAATGCATTAGGACTTGTCAACATATTATTTTACACTGTTTATGATCTGTAGAATTATGTCCTTCAGGGTTGTATTGTGCAAAGGCTCAAAAGAAATGGCTTTGGGCCTCATTAAAAAAGAGCAGAAAGAGGCTGCTGGTGGAAGCCGTTCCCTGCCTCTGCCGTCCGGAACAGGGAGGAGTCAGTGAAGCCTACTGGTTTCAGTTCTTAGCAGGGCCTCGGCCTTCAGGGAGGTAAGAGGGCCCCCACTTCCTGTCTGAGCTTTGTGGCTGTAATGGGCCACCCCTCCCAAGAAATGTGTGAACTGGAAAGTGGGTGCTGTTCACAGGGCTGAGGGTGTAGGGGATTGTATGGTCTCCCAGCAGCCAGACCTGCCTCTGACACCCACAGCACACCCTCGGAGCTCCTGGTTTTTCTGCCTCCCTTGCTTCCTGGCTTTAGGGTACCTCCCTTGCAGTTCCAAATTGCCTCATGATCTTCCCAGCTCAAATCTATAGAGAAAAAGATCACTGGGTCAGCCAGTGGTGTGGTGGTTAAGGTGGCTGGATCCTACCTGGCTGACTGCATGGTTCAAGTCCTGGACCTAGTAGCTTCAAACACATGCCAGGCATTAATGTATGTGTATGTGCATGCCTAACAGCCTAAGAGAGACCAGAGGAAAAGGGATGGCGGTGTGGCTATCACCTCTGGAAATGTGTTCTATCTGGTGAGTGTGCTCTCCCTGTCTGGTTAGTACACATGCCCTCTGGCAAATTACAAAGACAAAAACAAAACACATAAAAGTAAGGGTATAGAATTCTGTGCATTGAAATGTCAGGAACCAACTTGCACACGTGTGGAGCAGGTCTCCACTGGAAGGCCTTTCCAGTGCCTTCCAGTGGCGAAGTGGCCTGCCGTAGAATGCAGTTTGAGTTCTCGCTCAGGCAGTCCTATCCAAGAACTATTGGGAAGCCATTGACTAGTCTTGGTGGTGGGAATGTGGGTCCCTTCTTTCCTCCAGGGCTGTCCCAAGGAATCTCTCAGCCCTCTAGGCCTGGGATGGGCTATCCACAGGCAATAGGAGCTGCCCTCCCACTGCCATCCTTCTGCCTGGAGGGTGGCACACCCACAGGGAGGTGATGGCTCCTGACAGTCCTTGCTCTTCCACTCCCACAGGCAGCGAATACGACGAGGAGGAGGTAGACTACGAGGAGTCGGACAGCGATGAGTCCTGGACCACAGAGAGTGCCATCAGCTCCGAAGCCATCCTCAGCTCCATGTGCATGAATGGAGGGGAAGAGAAGCCTTTTGCCTGCCCAGTTCCTGGATGTAAAAAGAGATACAAGGTAAAGGGGTGCCCCTTGCTTGGCATGACCACACAGAAAAGTGGCAGGTCTCATATAAGGTAGCACCCCCTTCGTAATTCAGAAGAGAGTATTGGGCCAGGGAGAGATGCTCCCCTCTCCTATTCATTGGGTACATGGCCCTCCCGCACATGCAAATCACGTGGGCATGGACCTGCCAGAATATCAAATGTGTCAGCCTGTGTGCCAAACACCTGCCCTGGTTGGTGGCTCACAGAACACTTTGAAGCCATAAACCCCAGACAGCTCTTCTGGGAAACGTAGGGTATTTAAGCTTCCAACGAGGGGAGCTCTTGCTCCCCCACGCCTCCAACATATGCATGCACACACTGGCACGAAAAGGGATTGGGAGAAAAGGGGGCTTTGATGTTTTTGTTATTTTTGTCACTAAACCACCACTTGTTTCAGCCTGTTGTTGCCCTGTGTCTCTGAGGGCACGACCTCAGAGGTGTGAGGGGCACCTGGGTGTGAGGGGCAGCTGGCTATGCTGTGCTTTCTAATAAGAAAACTCAGACCAGTCATGGTGGTATGGTGGTCACTGTGTAGCAACACGATGCGGAGGCCACACGGGAGGACCCTAGGTTCATGTCCCGAGGTCCTCTTGAACATGCCAGGTGGCCATGATCCTGGCTACCTGGGCGTGGACTGCAGGAAGAGGGACCCTATTGGGAGTGCCTCTTTCTCCCTCTCTCTGTCTCTTGTCTCCTCCTTTTATGGAAAAAAGCAAGGCCTAGCTCTGTGGCATAGTTGGGAGTGTACCAGACTATGGAGCCGGAAGCTGCATAGTGACAGCCATTTGGTCCCCAGCCCAGTAGATCTGAACACATGTTGGGTGCATGCATGAGTACCCAGGATCCAGGGCAAGGGTGGGGGACTGGAGGAAGGGGATTGGAGTGTTACTGAACCCCGTGGAGGGTGCTTCTCTCACTCACCTCTCTCCCTCCCTCGTATGCACACACACATGCTGTGTCATGATTAGGTAGCATAGGGGCAGCAGGTGGCATGGTGGTTGAGGAGCTAGACTCCCATGTCACTGACCACGGTTGGAGTCCTAGACCCAGCGGCTTGAAAATCACACTGGTGTACCAGCAGGTGTTAAGGTGGTTAAGGTGCTGGACTCCCACATTGCTGACCACCATTAAAGTCCAAGACCTGGTGACTTGCTTTTACTGTGTCTCTGGTGGGCACATGTGCCCTATAACAAATTAAAAAAAAAAAAAAAAAAGTCATACTGGGTGCATGTGCATGCATGCCCAAAATCCAGAGGGGGAGAAAAGGAGAAGGGATTGCAGCATGGCCATCCCCTCTGCAGAGTGATTTCTCACTTTCCCTCTCACCATCTCTCTGTTTCTCTCCACAAGTGCATGTGCCAAAACCCGAAAAATAAATAAATAGTACACTTTTTTTTTTTTTAAAGAGGGGTAGAAAGCTCAGGGGAACAAAACAAAGAGAGATAACCAATGCTATTCAAGTGTAGGTCCAGAATGTATTTTTTAAAAATTCATGACAGGGCCCAGCAGGTGCTGTGGTGGTTAAGGTGCTGGGCAGACCCACATGGTCAATCATGGTTCAAGTCCCTGACCTGGTGGCTTGCTGTCTCAGTTTCCTTCTCTCCCTGTGTCTGTCTTTCTCTGGTCAAATCAAGACAAATGAATGAATAAATAAAATTAAATGAATAATTCTTTTAAAAATAATTCATGACAGCCTCTGTGTCATGAATATGTGAGAGAGGGAGAGCACTGTTCACAAGGTCTGGTCCTGCACGCGTCTCTTCCCCGCCGTGCTCCAGCCCTTCAGATCCTGGACACTCATGAGCAAGCCCAGTGCTTGTAAACTGGGAATTCAAACCATGGTGGCTGTGTGGCATCCAGCTCCTCTTGAGCACTCAGTGCTGCGCTACAAAGCCAGCCCCAGAATGCATTTTTAAAAATGAAATTGCAGGACCAGCAGACGGCATAATGGTTACGTCGCTGGACTCCCACATACTTGACCATAGTTTAAGTCCCGGACCTCATGGCTTAAAACTCATGCCGGGCACATATGCATGTGTGCCCAATATCCTGAGAGCAGAATAGAGGAGAAGAGATTGTGGCATGGCCATCCCCCCGGGGGAGTGTTTCTCATCATCTCTCTGGTGAGCATATATTCTCAAAAATAAAAAAAATGAGGGAACCAGCAGTTAGCGTAATGGCTATGTCGCTGGACTCCCACGTAGTTGACCGCGGTTTGAGTCCCGGACCCGGTGGCTTAAAACTCACGCCGGGCACGTGTGCGTGCGTGCCCAAGATCCCGAGAGGAGAATGGAGAAGGGATTGCGGCATGACCATCCCCACTGGGGGGTGATTTCTCGCTTTCTGTCTCTATGTCTCTCTCTGTCTGGCGAGCGCACACGCCCTATAGCGAAAACCTCTCCAAAAAATAAAAAAATTTAAAAAATGAAATGGCAAGCTTTCTTGTGAGCTGTTAGCAGTTCTTTAAAATCCATCAATGAGATAAAAATATAAAAATCAGAAACATACCTGGTATACTTGGGGTATGCCAATTTACATATAGCTCAGCACATTGTTTGTTTTAAAAGGCTGAAATATGTGTGATAGCATAAGCACTTCTATTTGTTCCTTAAATTTGTGCCTCCAAATAAAAAAAGAGACACCCTATTTCCATACTTGTTATAATTGCTACAGCTATAACAGCATGAAAGACAAGTGCCTCACAAAGATGTGTCGTCCAAGATTCCACCTACTCAGTATATCATTAAACTCCTATAATGTGAGTCAGCAAGTGGTGTGGAGGCTAAGGCAGCTGGATCCCACATGGTCAGCCGACCAGATGGTTTGAGCCCCGGACCCAACAGCTTGAAAAATACACTGGGCACATGTGCATGCATTCCCAAAATCTCGAGAGGAGAATGGAAGAGAAGGAATTGTGGTGTGGCCATCCCCTCTAGGAGGCAATTTCTCATTTTTTTCTCTCTCCAGCAAGCACAGGGGCCCTATAGCAAAACAAAACAAAAACTTCTATCTTGCAAAGTCCAGATGCTCTTGGTTTAAACAATGCTCGAGGTGGAGATGTAAGAATTCAATCAGGGATTCTGAAGAGCTGCTGAGTGGGTCTCAGAATGCATGTGAACATGCGTGTGTCAGAAGGCATGGAGGAGGGGAGGAGTGGGTGGGCCCACTACTTCTCAGGGCGCAAAAGCACCAAGGGGAACCTTCGGACAAGCTCATTTCCCGGCTGGCAGCTCTGCACTGCAGAACTACACTTCCCACCTCTTCTCGTTGCACAGCAGAAGAGGCTGGCCAGAGAAGGCTCTCGTACCCTGCCTGCTCTGGATGCCAGTTTTACCCACACTGTGTCCCCGTGCTTCTGCCCTCTTGCTGCCTTCTCTCAAGGACCACGATGCTGTTTAAGGGATGTCGTGTTAAAGAAGGAACTAAGAAGCTGTGCCCCACAGGAGGCCTGGGTTTGAGTCTTGGCCCAGGGTAAAAGCCGGGTTCACTGTGTACACCTACAATCCCTATAGTTCAGAAGGCTGAGGCAAGAAGATGGTGACAAGTGAGACCCTGTTTAAAAAAAAAAAAAAGAAAAGAAAAAGAAAATGAGGAAACAAGTAATGACCTGTGCTGAGGCTACACCCAGTATGCTGGGAGGCTTCTCTCCTCCACCTCTAGCTTCATCATTTCTTCTTTTCTTGCCCTTTTTTCTTAGTTATTTCTATTTTCCTGTCATAAACTTTGGCTCGGGAGACGAGTGTTGGTTTCCAGTAGGTTCCTCCTTCAGTTGACTGGATTGGCAGAGGCTCTTCTTTGACAGGTCCTCTCCATCTGAGACCAAGAGAAAATTTAGTGACCCTCAGGCCACAGAGGCTGCCGGCTCCAGTACCGTTGGCTGGTGGATGACACAGGTGTCAGTCTTGGTCCTGACCACCATGACAGAAGCCTGAGTCTCTGGGCCAGAATGCGAAGTAAGGATACAGGGGACAAGAATAAACACATCGGGACCAGCAGTTAGCATAACGGCTATGTCGCTGGACTCCCATGTAGTCGACTGCGGTTCGCATCCCAGATCCGGTGGCTTAAAACTCACGCCGGGCACGTGTGCGTGCGTGCCCAAGATCCCGAGAGGAGAATGGAGAAGAAGGGATTGCGGCGTGGCCACCCTCCTGGGGGGTGATTTCTCACTGTCTCTCTGTCTCTCTCTGGCTGGCTGGCGAGGGCACGTGCCCTATACCGAAAACCTCTCAAAAAAAAAAAAGAAGAAACACATCATCACCCTCCTAACCAAGGACTGGAGATGAGCACGGTCAATGGCCTAGAGCATCAGTGTGACAAGCAGAAGTTGCCAGCTGTAGGGACGTGGTTCTCCAATGTAACCCCACTAACTGTTTCATCATATTTACTGCCGGAGAGTTGGCGTAGGTGCTGGTGAGGAGAGGGTGGTAGTGAACAGCCGACTGCAGAATCAGGCAGACTCCAGACGGGCCAGTGTCTTGTGTGTCCCCTGGGCAGGTCAGACATTCTGTACTCCCTGCCTCCGCGGCAGCAGGGAGTCTGGGCCAGTTGTCTCTTGGGCACCAGCTGAAGTTCAGCTCTTCGTGGCACATTCAGAGCTGAGAGAAGACAAGGCCCCACCTCCCTGGCTCCACACTGAGTAGGGAACAAGAGAGGGACCCAGCCGGGGAGCAAAGTGTCCACTCTTTTTCCCAAGTCCAAGTTAATTCCTCAGAATGTCTCCTTCCCTTTGTAGGAAAAGAAAAAAAAAAAAAAACATCGATTTTCTTCAGCTGTCCTCAATTCTTAGCTGTGACAGCTCATTGTAACAAAGGCAGAGTAACGAGAGGAAAGCAAACGACAGGACCAGGTATATCTCACATATGCGCGGGAGCCACCCCGGGAACCAGCAGTTCTTGAAGAGATGGCTTTGAATTCCAGCATCTGTAGCATCTTCAATAATGAAAAGTAAAATTTTTAGAGAAATGACCA